AGTTTATATTTAGAGCAAATTTATATATATATATATATATATATGTATATTTGTATGAAATTAAAGCGCAAACGTAAGTTTACATAGGAAAATCAGTCATCATTAACACATACGATTCTTTATGAAATAACAACTAAAGAACAATACCATGGAAATTAATTAGAGCGATGTCTCATTAGGACATTTCACATAATAGTCTTGCTGAACCGTTAAGATAAGTTATGAAAATCACCAGTGAACTGTTTACGTATGTAACGAATTGGGTTCCATTTCAAGTTCTCTCTTTGCTAATTACTGGGCTGCATGTATAATCTACGTATGTTCTCCAATTATTTCCCTGTTTCAACAAGCCTGCTGCTTCAGTGAGTCGATTATAGTACGGAGAACAAGGGAACGCTAATTGAATTCTACTTATTAAGACAAATGTCTCCACAGACAACAGATGACAGCTATTCCAGAGAACTGGAAACAATAAACCCTTGCGTGCAAGAGAAGAACGTTGTAGAAACGGCTGTAATTTCCATATTAAACTTTAAATTGAAATTTTGGAACCTTTATGCTTGCAATTTCGTAATTGAAGCCTAGCGCTATGTTTTCATGCTTGAACTAAACATTTTGGGAGGAGTTGAATCCAGACAAAGTTTTGTAAAAAAATAAATTAGAGCTCAAAGTGGAATTAAATTGAATATATTTTTAATAGAAAAAAAAAGAAAAACAGTTATGTAATTGACAAATACATAAGCTCAGCTATTTTTTATACAATAAAATATGTGAACTTGAACACACGAGTGTGTTTACAAAGGATTATTTTCGGTAACCAATAATAAACAGTCCCCTCTATCGGATCGTTTACAAACATATTATGTTCATGCTCCAATATCGATGGAAATAACATTTGATTTCCAAGTAAAAACTGTATCAGCATATGGTAACATCTTACATAGCAAAGAAACAATATCTTAACAAACCTTTTCATTCACATTTTTTTATCAATTACAGAAATATGTTAGATTTTAAGTTGTTATGTTATGGGCTAAACCGGCCTTAACGGAGACTGAATTGAGTTTCTGAACAGTCTAGACAATTTCAAGTCCAAGTAAGAATAAAAATCCTCAAATGTTAAAATATAATTTAAAGCATAGTTCTTCACTATGTCAGAAACTAATTTGAAGTAACATGTTTTTATTGATTTCAAGTAACATGTTTTTACTGATTTGAAGTAACATATTTTTACTGATTTGAAGTAACATGTTTTTAAATAAAATCATTTTCTTTCCACAAATCTTGTTTATATATTTTGGATAATTAACATTGTTTGTAGTTAGTTAAGCACAAAGCTACACAATGGGCTATCTGTGCGCCGCCCACCACGCATACATACCGCTGTGCCACTGGGGGGGGGGGGGTGCAATTAACATTGTTACATAAAACTTACCGAATCACTTTCATTCGTGTAACAGATTAATGATATTTTACTCTCATTCATTTTTAATTATGCGCTTAGCTACTGTTCTTTTACATAATTTGCGTACTCATTCTGATAAATGATACTATTGGCAGAGGCATAAACATAACAATAATAACAAACATTTAGACGAAGATACTATAGTTTCAACAATACTAGCCGTATATTGTGGCTAGGTAACTTGTACAGACACCAAAAAGCGTATTTTGGCTAACTAGCGCATGTGGTAGAGAGTCTATTGTAACTTATGCATCCAACAGAGTGCCTTTTACATGGCCTGATGGTTAGGGAGCTTCATTCGCAATCTGAGGGTCGTGAATTCGAATCCCCACTGAACATGCTCACCCTTTCATCCGTGAGAAGTTTGCTTTTAACGAAGGAGAACATAAATAACTCTTGATCTAGACTAGTAAAACTTCTGTTTAGGCAAGTTATCTAATAGGCATCATATCATATTGTTTGTGCAAAATATGTAACAAGCACTCTCTAGTGTCTGCGCCAATTATGCAAAAGGCTTTGACATGGTTTGAATATAGCGCAAAGCTACGCGAGGACTATCTGTGCTAGCCAGCAGTGATAGACTAGAGGGAATGCAGCTAGTCAACAATCTCCACCGCCAACTCTTGGGTTACTCCATTACCAACGAATATAGGGTTTGATCGTCACATTATAACGCTGGTTGTAGTAGCTTGGGTATTTTTGTAGATATAGGCAAAACTACGCTAAAAGTCTCGTAAATTTTTGTGCTCATCTAGAGAAAACTTTATCAAGTTGATCGCGCTGAAATTTCTATCACAGCTTAGAGTGTTCTTAAAAGTGGACCATTTTTATTTTTATAAACATCAAACGCGAAATCCGGAAGTTATGAGCCCAAAACTACCACCGTGTAAATATTTTCACGCTATTTTTGCGTACTACTTTCAATCAACTTCAAACTAATAAAAACGCTTCCCGGTACGTGATTGCCTTCGCTTTTAGCGTATAGTTAGCACATTTTATAATATCGCTTTATCTACTATATAAAACGCTACAAGGAACATGATATCTATTGAAAAACAACTTGGCTGAAAAATGTGTGAACAAAAATGAAGCAACTGAAAATATGAACTGAAAGTTATTGAAGTATCGAAGAAACAACTCATATGCAAGTAAGATGTCTTCATATTTAATAGGTTCTTGATGCTAATCCTCATATGGCAATTAAGATGTCTCCATATTTAATAGGTTCTTGATGCTAATCCTCATATGCAATTAAGATGTCTCCATATTTAATAGGTTCTTGATGCTAATCC